CATTTCATAAATACATTTATGATTTTTTATCTGATTTATGTAAAATATATTGTTTTACAATTGTACATTTAGTAAAAAAAAAAACATTTTTTTATCTGTGAATATTTTTCAGTATTATTGGCGGGTGTTCTTAAAATACCGCGAAGTTTCATAATTTGTGACTCTGTACTCTGTGTATTTTCCATTAGTTATTAGTTTTTGTTAATTTTTATATACTTTCGTTTCTTGTTTTTGTTTTAATATTATTTTTATAGTTTTAAGTGTTCATAGTGTTAGTGTAAACAATTTATAAACGTGAGTAGACTATTTTTAAAATCTAAATGTATTATTTACTTTTGGTTTTTATTTTGCGACATCGTGGTTAGTTTAAGACATAGGTTATTTATTTATTATTCGTCATATCTTGGTTAGGTTAGGTTAGAACATTTAAGATTATTTATTTATTATTCCTCATATCTGGGTTAGGTTAGGTTAGAACATTTAAGATTATTTATTTATTATTCCTCATATCTGGGTTAGGTTAGGTTAGAACATTTAAGATTATTTATTTATTATTCCTCATATCTTGGTTAGGTTAGGTTAGGACAGTTGCCACAACGCACGAGCCGAGCGAGCGAAGCGAGCGTGCCGCGGTAGCGGCCGGCGAGTGCCATAAATGACTAGAAAACTAGAAAATTCGAAATTCACGCAAAGTACAAATAAAGACAATCATCTGGAGATCATTTTGACAATTGAAAGTGACGTTTTGACTCCAAGTGTCTAAATGGTAGTAATGTCAAAATAATGTATGGAAATGTTGTAACTTTAAGTCTCAATAACTTTTTACTCATACGTTCGCGGACAATTTTTATTTAACATTTCGACTCCCTATCACGTCTCTTATCCAGAAATACCACCCACTCCGCTAGGGGCCAAGTCCCCAATTCTAAACGGCCGCCGGGAGTTCAAATATATACAAATTATTTTGAGCAAACGAAGGAGTCAAAAGTTATTGAGTCTTAAAGTTAGAACATTTCCATCCATTTCTATACCTAAATAAGCCATTACGAAAGATAAACATACCTTTAACGAATATTAAACATCCTTTTTCATGTAAACTCCATATTATTTTCAACAATAATTAACAATTAAGGCTTTAAGGTATTAATATATTTATAATTTTACTAAAAACAATAACCTAAACAAAATAATCTTAAATTTTGACAAATGACATAACAGATTATCGTTAATAATTAGTTAAGAGTTATGCATATTTAAAGTGAAAATTGTCGTCAAATTACTAAGATTCTAAAATAGAAATATGTTATTTTCAATTCATACATACATTTCCGAATTTTTATTTGATTTATATAAAATATTGAGTTATATAATTAATTTACATTTAGCAAAAAATTTTGATTTTATTATCTATGAATACTTTTCAATATTTTTGGCGGGTAGTCACAAAATACCGCGAAGTTCGATAGTGTATGTGAATACGATGTGTACTCATTAAACGCGTTTAAGTTTTCATATTTTTTGCTCTTTTTCATAGTTATTTTTCTCATATTATTTTCCTGTAGTTATTAGTTTTAGTGCTTTATGTTAATTTGAAATTCGGTATAGATCTCAGTATTTGAAGGTTATTTTGGCACTTCGAAGTGACATTTTGAATTTCCAAGTGTCAAAATGTCAGTAATTTCATAATAATGTATGGAAATGTTGTAACTTTAAGTGTCAATAACTTTTGATTCTTTCGTTTCCTTAAAACAAAAATTATATATTTGGACTCCCTATAGCCTCCCCTATCCAAAAACAACCACCACTCCTCCAGGGGCCGCGTCCCATATACTAAATTATATATATATATATATATATGTTACTCCAATTCATGGTCTCTCTGTGCCGACTAGCCGTTTTATCGTGAAGAAGTAACACGCACATATCTACAAACTTTTGCATTTGATAGTAATCCGATTAGAAAAATTGTCGAGGAATGGTTTTGCCCGATAGAACTTTGATAACAGGTTTTATTACCTCTTAGGCTAACGTTTATACTGCTCTCACATATGTTATATGGATCCCAATTTAATTATGATATATGGCAATGAACCATTAAATATCGTATTTTAGCCATTTATTAAATTATTTTATTTTACAATTTTTTTAAACTAAATAATAAATAATTTACATCTTTTAAGTTACTTCTCGATAAATCCTAAGAACTTACTTCTTAAAGCTGCGTTTAACCAAATAATTCAGGCTAAAGAGCATACAAAGAAACAGACATACATACACTCGTAACACATTACCTTCTTTCGATGATAGTCGGGTAATAAATGTAAGCGTACTGTAATGTGAATTAGTTTATGTCCGTGGATGTCAAACGTCAGGCCCTTAGAGGGGCGATCGAGCAAATCATATCGTAACACTTCTTGATAAAGTAATTGAGCCTTTTCGTTCACTTAACCACTAAAATAAAACTTAAATAGTATACCAGTTTTATTAACAAGTGACCGTTTGTAAATGAATTTATGAAAAGAATGTCAATCGGGTCGGGACTGTAATTGGATATTTTCATCAAGGTATGATTCGTGTACGTGCTTATATAATTTTAGCCTTCTACTTCTTCGCTTACCCGATACAAAATCGACTTAGTTTGTATGTAAAAATAATCTGTATAACTCCTAAATCGATTCTAAGTTACACACTATCGGTTATCGCTGTTTTATCGATATATCAATTTCGCATTTATTATGAATACTAATGATTTACCCTCGTTTCGCTCGGGTACTTCACTAGATGCCAAACAATCGCCTACGTGTTTATCCAGCTCATAGTCTATATCTATTTATTAAATTTGTCAAATTTGTAGCAGTTTTAGCGTGATGGAGTAAAGATACACAAACAAATACACATACATACAAACATTCACAGTTATAATTGTGGTTCAATTAGTGAACCGCTCTCATTTTGTTCTAAATGATAATCCGTGTTTCTTTACGCAATTATATATGTTAATATGAAAATCTCTTAACGTAAAGCGATAATTATTTTTGCTAGTGTTAGGCCCAGTGGTCGAAATTTTGCCCTATTTTTTTATTGCCTGGATCTCATGAATCGCTACTAAACAAAAAAAAATCGATTGACAAACATAGGAGAAAAAGTAGTGTATAGGTATAGAAAACGACATTAGAAATATTACATATTATGAGTCTCTGACATATCAAGTAAATTTGTCATTTTCATAGAATTTTATAAATTTCCATTTTTCAATGAATTTAGAATTACACCTAGTCTTTTTACGTGTTGACCAAGTCCAGATGGGTGGGCTTCGTGTGTCATTCGAAAAGCTAAGTTTTCTCTCAAACATGCTTCCTTACAATGTTTTCCTTCAACGTAATCATGGTGAAAATAATTCACATGAGAATGCAAGAGGTGTGAGACCCGGGATTTGAACGTACTTAATTTTGAGTCAGGCAGTGGTAGCCCAGTGGTAGCGCGCTCGCTTGGGAAACCGAGTGAAGCGGGTTCAAATCCCGGGTCTCGCACCTCTGATATTTTCATGTGCGAATCATTTCTTGCCTTGACTTACGGTGAAGGAAAACATGAGGAAACCTGCATGTTTGAGAGAACTTAGCAAGTTTTCGAAACACGTGAAGTCCGCCAACCCGCACTTGGCCAGCGTGGTGGACTATGGTCTGATCCCCCTCGTATTGAAGGGAGGCTCGTGCTCAGCAGTGGAACGTTAAAAAGGGCTGAATACAATTTTGAGTCTCAAGCAAGCGCATTACCACTGAGATACAACTGCATTTTGTATATATACGTGTAGGGATTTCAAATTAAGCCCTTCCCCTATCTAACATTCCTCACAAAATATAAGTAATATCATTAAATATCTTATCAGTTTTCCAACAAGGTAATACTTTTTGAAAATAGCTTTATTTCATTTAAGGAGTAATAATAGATACTGTACCGATTTAAAGTAAGAAATATTTAAAAAAATATAGTTTTTACCAACTGATTTAAAAAAGAGGTTCTGCATTCGAATATAAGTTTTTATTATCAATTTCTCCCAATTTTTCATATTAATAACCTCTTTGTCATATCAAAAAATATTCCACCTCTAAAGATTGAATAAGCAAAGATTACATTCATGTTAGTGTATTTTTTTATTTTAAATGTTATATTTCTATAAAGTTTTGTAGTCAAGGCTTTCTTACTATCTTCTGACTCTATCAAAATCTTCATCGTAACTTATGATATGTATGTATATATAAAAATGCATTTAAAAGGTTTTTATCAAAGAAATTGACACATAAAAAGGCAAAACAAAGCAAATGAACGCTTATAATAAACTAATTCAACTTAAAAATACATATTTTTGAGTTTTAAGTGATAAATAACATTGTTAAAACAAGCTAATCCATAGAAAACAAGTACGTAATCCGCTAATCTAAAGTCCCACCCATATAAAATTGAGTGATTCACTGCATTTAATTGCTGAATGAAAAATGAGGAAGCACTCGTTATGGTGGGACGTAATGACGTATGAACTTGTGCCTTTTATTTAGTAGCAAGAGATATTTATATGAACGTTTAGAACAGATTTTTTAAATGCGAGATAAAAGTTGGCCATCTAATAAATTATATTTATACAAATGAAATATACAAATAATTATATATTATGTATTACGAATGATACTTATCTGACCCATACAAAATGGTCGTAAATTCTAACCCTAAGTCGAAAAGAAAATTAAGTAATTTTAAAAGCCCAAATTCATATATGTGTGTATGTTTGTTTCTCTGTCACCTAAAATGGCTAAACGGATTTGGATAAAATTAAATACACAGATATAGACTATGAACTGCAGTAGATATAAGATGCATCTAAGGATTTATCCAAACAGCGAGTGTAAATCGCTTATAAATATTACTCATAAGTAGTAATTTTTAAAGATCAAAAATCAATTATGACCAAAAAATGTTTCTTCAATAACTTTTTTTACATTTCACAGGTGTATCAGCAAGTGAGGCATTAAGAAACGGCATCTGCCAATCACTATGGGCGCCATCTCGACCAGAGCCACGAGTAGCGTCACCCCCACAACAGTTAGAAAACTACCCCATCAGAGGTAAGGTCAAGTATTTCTACATGACATTGACGAAATAATCCGTGCTAAACTGGCACACTTTTAAGTCATTAACAAGAAAATTTAAAAATAATTAATTTAAAAATATTTAAAAGTTAAATAATAGACTTAATACAATCACACAACTTTCGGTGTTTTATGGCATATAAAACTTCCAATAGAAGATTCAAAAGCTCTATAATCTCCTTTAATTTCAAAGCCGTTCAACATTCTTTTTAAAACCACTAAATATGATGACTATATGTATAGAAAATAAAAGCACCCCAAATACATACAAGTCGTGTAATATTTAGGTACAAGGTTATATCTTTTTTGGAATTTTTACCTTCACTAAACATGGTAATAATGCAATAACACGTATTACTGTCCAATAAAAGCATATAACGATTACAATGAAACACAAAACAAACTTGATTACACCGCACCTAACATAGAAAGCTTTTATAAAAATCTCATAAGCACGTAGGCCACAGAATTTCCAATAACATTGGGCTTTAAATCCCACGGCTTCAGATTTGGGCTGACATAATTATCTTATCGCAGACAGCGCGTATCACTCGGCAAAATTACGTTTGTTTTATGGCTCTGATTTGCCGGCGGCAGCGACAAAGTGCTATCGATATCGAGTAAACGTTCATGTTATGATGGTTGTAATTCATGTATCTAACACAAATTTTGATATAGATAAGGGGTATCGTTAGCAAAAAAGATATTTTTATTGACATAATATGTACGTATGTACGTGTGGTTTGATGTAAGTTTCACATGAGTCTTTGAGCAGCGTTTTGTCAGCGTTTTTTTTTAAATATATTTGGAAGGAGGAATTTCAGTTTAATTATTAAACGATTTACTGAAAAATGGAGTTTAATGATCTTTTAGGTCGTTTGAAAGGAGTAAATTTTTTTTTTAATATTTCTATTTTGGAAATAATATATATTTTCATATTAGTCTCAATGTAAATTTAAGTTCAAAGTACACTCCATTACATTGTTTTCTGTGTTATTATTTTTAATTGTCATTTGAAGTAAATGCACTGTTTTTTATTTAAAATTTCAATACAAGAAACGAAGCCTGTAATAAAATATAACTTTATTGCTATCTCTCCTCTGCCTTTCTTAACTTAACACGTTGTAAATCCGATTTGGACATGTGTACTCTTGTATGTAAACATTAGTTTACTAGATAACACCGTTCCCTGTTTGAATTGTATGGATTGTCTAGCATGACCGTTTCTAGGAATTTTCAATTTATAAGCGATTCATGTAAACGGTGATAATAAACGCAAATCTCCAAACGAAAATGAGAATAATCGTACTATTGTTCTCTATGCGAAAGTTTGTATGACGACACACTTAAATGGCTGGTCGTATTTGGATGAAATTTAGTATTCAGATAGGTACAACAAAACGCGGGCTAGACACTACAAAAGACCTAGAGACGTTGATCTATGAAATTCAAATTAAATTTCCTTGTTTCCTACTACGTCATAAAATAAGACAACAATGCTCGATCAATCAAGTGTTGTCCATTCGTGCACGCCAAGTCCTGTCAATATTTGCCAAGTGGCTACACCGTCACGACATCGCCCCACAATTTTATTTGCTTATCCACGTTTATGTTTGGCCAAGTGTGGCCAAGCTATATTATACTCTTGTTTAAAGTTCGCGTGACTTTGCGCTATGACAATTGAATACACTGCCTCGTGAATTGTTAAGGGTTTCGTGATTGTTACGGAATAACATTTCTTTGAAATGGTCGGTTTGTTTGCGCTTACTTGTTTAAATTGTATTAAAATTATAATTGTCTTTTAGATGTAGTATATTAGAAATAAGTCAAGATAAAATGTATAAGATTTAACTTTACTGACAAAAAACAAGTTGGTGGCGGTTTTGTGTTAAGTCTAAGACGTATAATATTTATAATACGCTTTAACAAGCATTTTTGAGTATCAATAATTAAAAAACCTAAATAGTTTGTGTTACAAGAGTAATTTATATCCAACTAGCATTGCCCGCGGCTCCGCCCGCGCTCAGATGACCAAAAACTAAATTCTTAGGTTTTACATATTAGTATACTCTTAAAATGCAGTTTTTGTATTTTTTCTCAGAAACGAAATATTTTATCGCGGTAAAAATATCCTATATGTTGACCCGGATAACCAGCTATCATCTTACCAAATTTCATCAAAATCTGTCCAGTGGTTTTCTCGTGATGCGGTAACAGACAGACAGACAGAAAGACAGACAGACAAAAATTCAAAAAACTACAGATTCGCACTCTGTATCGATAATAATGTCTATTTCAATTAGATTTTTCAAATTCGGCTTAGTTACAATTTTATTATATGTATAGATTTATATGAAACTAAAATCATGCGTTAGTCTCCTCAAAGCGAAGGGAATAAGCTAGTGAGGTTCTTTAAGACTCTTAGTTCCCTATGATGTTTTCCTTCACCGCTGTAACACGTAAATAATTATATTGAAAATTCGCACATAGGCTCTCTGATCTGTGGACTTCAATAAAATTCAATAGATTTAGCTATCAAGCCTGTTACTAATGGGCCACTGGGATCTCAGAATATATCCATATTTTATTCAAAAAACAATAAGAAAAATTTTTTTGGTAGTTTATAAGTAGAATGATAATCACGCCATTGCGAAAACTTCTCAAGACTAAAACCTTGTAAAGTGGTGATAATGACAAATCTAGACACCTTAACAATTATTGAGGCACAGTTTAATCTCAAAGATGCCGCGAGCAACATTTCGTCAACGTTTACAATCTAGGCTTAAAATTGCTGTTGGAAATGTGAAATTTGTTGAAATTTCAACCTTATTAAAACGAAATAAGTTACACGTTACGTGATTTATTATGCATAGAAGTTTTACAAACAAGAAACGTGCTATTGTTTCAGCAAATAATTCGTGGAAACATTGGAGAGAAATCGGGGCGTACACAAAGGCGCCGCCGAGATAGTGTGCCGCGACCTTTAATTAAATTGTAAAGTCGTCAAATATACACTCTTAAAATTCAATTAAATCTTGAGTAATAATGTTTTTAATGACTCCTTCTTAATCACTTACAGTTTTTAAGTAATTTTTCAAAGAATAAAAATTTCCATCAATAATAAAAGAATTGGAGCCACTATCTTTAGATTCTTAACTTCGCTAAGTAATCTATATATATAATAAAATTCTAACTGAATTGAACCTGTACATTAAATATTTTTGGAAAATCTTAAGAAGTTATTTATTATTGATACAGAGGCCGAATCTATAGTTTTTAGATTTTTTATCTGTCTGTCTATCTGGAAACGCATCACGGAAAAACCCCTGGACAGATGTAATGAAATTTGCTATGATGATAGCTGGTTATGCATATAGGATACTTATTACTGCGGGAAAATATCTCATCTCTGAGAAATCTATACTAAATGTAACTAAAGATGAGCCCGAGCGGAGCGAGGGTGAGGCGTTAATATTTTTTGTATAATATTATAACATATTAGTTTTTGCTCGCGGTCTCTCTCGCATGGGAAGTGGTGCAGGGATTATAAGTATCTTATGTCTATCATCAAAAAACAATTTACGTTCGTGCCAAATTTTATAGAAATCTGTTTAGCGGTTTAAGTGTAATAGACATAGTTACTTTCATATTAATAATATTAGTATAGATTTTGACTATGCTTTAGCACAAAAATATAAATAAATATATTGGGACATTAACACACAGCACCATCTAGTTCCATGGTAAGCTACGAGGCTTGCGTTATGGATATCAGATAGTTGATACACTACACAATACACATTATTACTTTTCAGGAAGTGGTGGCCCAGTGGTAACTCGCTCGCTTGGGAATCCGAGTGAGGTGGGTTCAAATCCCGGGTCTCGCACCTCTGATAGTTTCTTGTGCGAATCATTTCTAACATGATCACCACTTGTCTTACGGTGAAGGAAAAAATCTGCATGTTTGAGAAAATTTAGCACGTTTTTGAAAGACATGTGAAGTCCGCCAATCCCACTAGCTAGGGTAGTGCAATATGGCCTATATATGGAATATATCCACCTCGTAGTACAGGGAGGCCCGTGCCCAGCAGTGGGACGTTAAAAAGGGCTTAATACACACACAACTTACAATACATAGGTATATATTATAAATATAAGCACTCATGACTGGAGAACAAACATTCGTGCTCATCACACAAAAAACATGCCCCCAGCGAGATTCGAGCCTGCAACCGCTATTACAGCAAGTAGGCTCACTACAATCTGAGCCAAACGTGTCATCAAAAAAGTTATTTCAAATAAAGGGAAAAAGTTTAACTTACTAGGATTTTTTAATCAGTGACGTATATGACATGCTTAGATTAGGGAGTGACCGTAATCCCACTTTACATCGTCAGATCTCACCGCTAAGACCTGATTTATCTCACATATCTGCTGTCAATGCAAATGCTCGTGAAACAGACGTGGATGAATGATGTTAGGTTTCATATTTTATAAATATATCCGACGTTTTTATGCAAGTATCGAATGCATTCTCAGAGTGATTATACGTTTTTTGAATGACTACAAATCCAGCTATATATTCGTATTTAGATGGTTATCTAGAGTATTTTTATTAATCGTTTGATATTCATATTACGTATTAATGAAAGAAATAAAATATTATTTTAGTATTAAACAAGTCTGACTAAGGCAGTGGTAACACTTGCTTGAGAAAGCTTTGATATTTTCATATGCAATTTGCGAATCATTTTTAAGGTTCCGTATTCAAAGGGTAAAACGGAGTCCTATTACTATCTACTCCGCTATCCGTCCATCCTTCTGTCTGTCTGTCCGTCTGTCACCAGGCTGTATCCCATGAAACGCGATAGTTAGACAGTTGAAATTTTCACAGATGATGTATTTCTGTTACCGCTATAACAATAAATACTAAAAAACAGAATAAAATAAATAAGGCGACTCCCATACAACAGACA